GAGAGAGAGAGAGAGAGAGAGAGAGAGAGAGAGAGAGAGAGAGAGAGCATGCAAAGCCATTGAAAGGACAAGAACAATACCACAGATAATTAAATGTTCATAGTCTGAATCACAATCGTTGGAAAGACACCCATACTCAGCTCACTTGGAACACAGCTACACTCATAAGCTCACTAGGAACACAATTACACGCTATACTTTCACTGGGAACACACCTATACTCAAATCTACTTATCTTTTTCCAAAGGTAAAACTAGGAGAAACCGCCTTTCTTTACCTCAGATGTCACAAGGCACATGCTTATTGCATAGAAAGTTAAAGAAGGTAAAACATAAACTTCTGTTGTGTATCTGGAGACAGATACAGAACCAAATAATACAGACACAAACCCAAACATCAATTTGAATAAAAGAATAATAGCAGTCACGTTCTCTTTTTGCCCTGGCCTCATGTTCTTTACCCTGAGACGATCCAACCCTTTAGATTGATATCTAAGTATTAATAAACATATTCACCCACACTATTGGTGACTTGGGGTTGTTTCATTGGTATTCGGGTGGCATGCTCCCTACTCCCTGGCCATTTCCACCTAACTACTGTGTTCACTCATTCTGACACGCTCCTCACATCATCCAGCTCATACAGTACCAGAGCTGGTGCATCCACTCCCTACTGATGGACACCTAGGCTATCCACTTCCTTAGCTGCTGAACTTCCCTACAATTAATCTTCCTGTGTATTCATCTTTGCAAATTCCAGAATAGAAATGTGTGACCGGTATTTTTTTTAATGCATTCCAAAAGGACTGTACTTTTAGAATCTTGGTAGATAATGTAAATCGCCTTCTATGGATTGGGTGCCAATTCACACCTCCCTCTTAAACCCCAGTTATCCATCATATGGCTACTCACTGTGTGAAGACTAAAAGCTTTCTGTAGCACAAGCTAATAGGAGCATCCAGGATTGACTTATCATTGGTTCAGGAATCATGATTGTTCACATGGTTATAAAGAGCAAGGAATTTTAGGATGATGCAGACTTTTATAATAGAAAAGTAGATGAATATAATACCAAAACAAGCTTGGAAAAGTCAGGTAAGATTAACTAGAAAAATGCAAGCCTTGTAGGGGGCGTTCTCTAATGCATGTGAACTAAGATAGACAAGTCATCTTCTCTCTGCTTAACATGGGGCAGGCACTGATTCTTAGCTGACTTAAAGAATAAGGGACTTGGAAGAGCCAAGAAGCAAGGGCTTCTCATCCCTTGACCCAGGTAGTAAAAAGGAGTAGACATCATTTTCTATTTCAATTACTTTCCAAAGGTCTCTGATAATCAAGGGAATTGAGTTGGGTGGATCTCAGTCACTTCACTAGTCTTCAGCCCAGAATGCCAGGCAGCCCTTAACAGGATACCTTTAAAACGTTTGAGGTTGGGTTCATAATTTAGATTCTTCTTTGAGGGAGCAGAAGAAAGAAGGCTTGTTACAGGCTGCAATTTCTCTAGAGCTAAAACACCATCCAGACTGAATCTTACATTTCTTGGTTTAATTCTTGAAATGTCTCAACTACTTCTTTTCTGTTCCAAATAAAAAGAATTTAAGGAAGGGCTGTGGTTATTATAAGATAAAGACCTCTCTAACCTCCAGGCAACTCTATAAGCAGCTTTGATTGTAAGGATATAAAGTGTCTCAGATTGTTTTATTTGAGGTCATGAAGACTGAGCCCCAGAGAATGACTAGTTTAAACCTATTTAAAAAAAACATATACACTGTAATAAATTATATGTGCAACAATGTGAATTTTCCATGTATAGAATGAATTAATATACTTACCCCATATTCAGATTGTATGATAAAGAGGATAAATATTAGTGACCTATGGAAAAGCAAAAACATAGACTAAGTGTTTGCTTTAATGGGAGACAACCTAAACAGAGCAATAGTACTAATTCCGGAAGGCTGACTCTCAATTCTGACTGCTACCACCTGACACAGTCAATGTCATCCTCTCTCTGGCTGCTAACATCACCTCTCCTTCATCAGTCAAGGAAGGTATATTGAAGGCCTTCCATATGGACATACTGAAGGCCATGGTGCAGAAACTAGAGGGGCACCAAGGGAGAGGTTGAGGCTTGAATGGACAGATTCGTGAAGAAAGAAGAAATGACTCTCCATGAAAGCAAAGGGAAAGGAGGAAGAAGACAGCTGTGGTCAGGGACACACCTGAGACGAGTGACATCCAGAGTGTTACTTAATGGAACCAATGCAAGAAGGAGTGGTACCTGGCAAGCTTCCTGAATAGGAGGAATGGATCAGGGTGTGTGGGAATAGTATCGAATCAGTAGGGAAGAGTGAGGTGGCCCACAGCCTGAATCCACCTAGGGCTTTGCTATTATAAGCAAATTTTAACAGAGTAGGGATACAATCAAGAGAGGTCAAGTAAATAATGTTTGCTGGTGCATCTCTCCATCAAAGGTCTTCAGTGCACACCATCTCATCTGGTTCTTGAACATCTGTGGTGAGCTGGTGCTCCTGGTCATACATCCCTATCCCCCGTCCCCACCCTCCGTGGTAGGAGAAAGGGAGCGGGACTTGGTTTAATGTACAGCCTTTTTCTCCTTTGGAATCGTGTGCTAAGTGAGCCTTCTTTCTCTACACTGTAGTCCTTTCTCATGGAGAAATAGAAATAGCATAGACAGTGACAAAGCACTGTGACCTTGATGAAGAGACCAGGAGCTGGAGGATCTTATTGGTCGACACCAAGGTATTTGGGTGCTATGTTCCTGAACACAGAGAGACTGATTCTTGCCTTTCCCATATTCTAGAATTGCCCATGTCCTTGGCTCACAGCCTTTTCCACCTTCAAAACTAGTGTTCTCTGCCCTCTGCTTCTTTCGTGACATCTCCTTCACTAATGCTGGCTTCCTCTCCCTGCCCCCTTTCATGTTTAAGAATACCTGTGATGACATTGGATCCATCTAGATTGTCCAAGATTCCCCACTCCTGGCTCAAGATCACCTGATTGATGTTCTGAATTCCATTTGCAACTGTAAATTCTTTTTCTCGTGTAAATAACATATTGACAAAGATTAGGATGTAGACGTCTTTGAGGTCATTGATCTGCCGTTGCGTTTGTGAAAGTACATTGATCTCACTCCATTAGTCTCCATGAACCCTGAAATTCTGAGTATTTAATGCTTTTGCTATTCAAATCTAATAATTAAGATAGCAGGAATGGGATGGGGAGAGAGGAGGGGCTCTGTTATTTGTATAGAACAGCTTCACATATGGTCATGATGTGAGTGCATTACGGGAAAGAGGTTGGTATTTAACAATCAGGATGGGTCCTATACAGCAGCACACAGACATGTCTTCCATAAAGACATGCACACACCAAGGATACTCACCAGGGGGCTGTGACAGAGGACTCTGACCATCTGAAAAAGCACCTCATGAAGACCTTGAGTACTGGTGCCCTTGAGGTATAACCTCTGCGTCCAAAATACTCCTCCAGCCTTCTCCTCTCTTCCAGAAGACTCTTGTGGACAGTTGGGAGTCAGTGTCCTGTGTTAAAATCTGCATGTGTGAAATATAAAAGTCATATTTATGACTTTCATAATAGCAGTATGCCACAAAATTTAGAATAATGGCTTTTGTTCTTCTGTCCGTGATGGAAACATTTTCTAAACAACCCCAGTGGCTGTTAACATAGCAATCTTTTCTTGGTACTTGGTATGCTGAATAAACGTCCTTAGAAATGGAAAAAATCCTACTAAGGGCAAGAGGGTATGGTGGGAAGGGACAGGGACATAGAAAAGAAAAACAAGGTATGGTCGGGGTGAGGATGGGGCATGTGTAATATGCCATAAAGAAACCCATGACTTTGTAGGCAATCTGAGAAAAAGGTTTTTCCTTTATTTTTATTTTATGTGTATGGGTGTTTTGCCTGCATATGTTTATGCATATACATGCAGTGCCCAGGGAAGAGGGAGTCGGATCCCCTGGGACTGGAGTTAAAAACAGTTGTCTGCCATCCTGTGGGTTCTGAGTATTAAACCCAAGTCCTCAAAAAGAGTAGCTAATGGTCTTAACTACTGAGCCAACTTTTCAGTCCTTGTAAGAAAACTATAATAGATTAAAAGAGATAAAATAGAAATTGAAATATTCTCAAATCCTATAAATGTAAAAGAATATATTTTGAAAAATGAAAAGATTTAAGAGAAATCACATTTTACAGTATACTTGTACATCAATAATCATAGTAATCAAAGCTTAAGGCTCTATTAATTGATAATTGGGAAAGCAAAATACTATATCACACAATGGAATATTATTTAGCCATAATAAGAAATTACAGATGAATATGCGCTGCTACATGGATGAACTTTGAATTCATTGTGAGTCTCAGAAGCACATGGATAATGGGCAAATCCACATAGACAGAAAATAGATCAGCAATTGTTAGAGTTAGGAGCAAATCGAAAATTGGGGAGTAGAGGGTTACTTTGGGGATGATGGCAATGTTCTGGAATTAGAGAGAGGACACAGTGTATGTCATGACTGCATCTGGGACTTCTCAATTACAAACTTTAAAAGAGTTAAAATGGTGAACTTTGCTTTTTCAATTTTATTTGTAAACAAGAGAAAATTTATTTTTAAACTTGACCTGAAGAACTCTTTACTTTGATCTAAAATCTCTTTGGCACAAAGAATGGAGATGTCTTGATTTTAAAAGTTTGTTTCCTCTGAGCCCCTGTCCTTATGGGAACTGGTAGGGAGAAGGAAACCAGTTGTGTCCAATATTACAAGCTATTTTTAAATTTCTACATAAAAGCTGGGCAGATGAATTCAATGGTGTGTTAACCCATAGACCAGTTTTTCTGGTGAGTGGTGGGACCACCTTCTGTGATTCTTCTAAAACCAAGTACAGATAAATATAATTAAGGAGAACACACTAATTTTTTTTCTATTCCCAAACTGATTACCTTAAATAGCTTTTTCATTTAAAGTTACATTCTAGAAACAAGTCTTAATAGGACAAATTACTATTTTGGAAAGAAAATGCAAATTTTTGAGTCACTTAAACTATACTCAATATTGTAAACAAATGGAAAATTGTCCAAATTTATGGAAAATTTGAGATATGTATATTTTGGTTAAAAAAATTAATGCAATTTACCTCCATACTCACATAGGCATTCTGTGAAGAAGTTTTCACAGAGGAATGCCACTAAACTGCAGAAGAAGGATGCCTGACTACTGTCCTAACATCTGGAGTTTGACTACTGTCCTAACAAACATCTGGAGTTTCTCAATACACTTGGATGGATGATTTTTGGAGACTTCAAAATAAAATTGTTACAGCACCATTTTAGAAATACTCAGTGTGTCAAAACACCACCACTGACAGCTAAAAATGTTGTAGAAATACTCACTGATAGAAATTTATAACGCTGTGATTATTATGAAATAGTATTTACATAGATTCATCTCATATATACTCTACTGTTTGTGTGTGCAGCTGCATATGCTTGTGCATGTGCAGGTCATAGGTCAAACTCATGCCGTTCCTCAGGTGCCATGTACCTTGCTCCTTGAGAAAGGGTCTAGCATTCGCCTGGAGTCCACCAAGTAGCCTTGATTGGCTGGTGAGCCCTAGAGATATCTGGAATGGCCTGGAGATGGGAGTTATCTAGTTTCATTTTTGTTGTGACAAAATAACTTTAGTGTTTATTAAGCTTATAATTCCAGATTATGATTCATCACCACAGAAGTCACAGAGGCAGGACAACTGGTCACACCACATCTGTATTCAAGAGCAAAGAGAATGAATGCATCCATGCCTCCTCCTTGCTCTCTTGAAGCTTCTCCTCGTCTTATACAGCTCAAGACTCTGTATAGGGAATGGTGTTGCCCACAGTGGGCTGGATCTCTCCATATCAATTAATAATCACAATAACTTCCCCCCCCCCCAGAAATGTGTACAGGACAACAAGATCTAGACAATTCCTCAAATCAAACTCTCGTTTTTTGGGGATCCTAGGTTATTTCAAGTTGAAGGTTAAAACTTACTAGCACAGAGAGTATGCTCTTCTCTTGAAAAGTGTAAGAAGGAAAAATTTTTAAAGGAGAGGTGAGAATCTTGATCAAAGACAGAACTCTATACATGACACTGCTGAGAATCTGGACATTGATTCCTTTTATTTTCTATAAAATGAGTTATCTACGTCTAAATGTGCCTCAGTGTGAAGACCTGTTCTAAGTGAGCTGCCCAAGGAAGGAAAAGGTATGTTTGTCAGGAACAGATCATGGGCGGGTATACACATATGTGTGTGTCTCTGCAGCCCACAGACCAGGCACATAAAGATGTTTTGTCTTCATGGTGATGATTCAGCTAGTAGCAGAACCTTGACATCACTGTCTTCTTGACACTGTCAACAGCAATGTGTACATACGCTATGCATGAGACATGACCATGTATGTTAGGTGCAACCTATGAGGAATTTCTCTTTTGCAATGACCAGTGTTAAACACATTAAAGCCTTTGCTTTGGTCCAGGTTCCAAGTACATAAAAATTTACACTATCTCTCACAACAACGGTCCTCTAACTTAACATCTTACATCAATGGCTGATGTTATGTGGAATTAGACAGTAGGCTTCTGCTTGAGTGAATCACCACTACAAACATAACTTGAGTAGCCTGAAGTGCTATGATACTATAATAGTTGCAAATAACATTAGATGACCTTCTACACAGGCAATTTCTGCTGAAGTTGTGTGTCTTCTGAAGGAAGTGCTTTGGCACTGTTGACTGATAAAAGGAACATTCTCCACAATAGCATCGGGGTCCCACCTTCAGCCCAGCCACAAGAGAATATGGCTAAGTTTTCCATCATCTGATCCTATCTCCTCAGCACCATGGAAAGAATCACAGTGAGCCCTGGATTCAAGGTAACCCAACTAGAAGCATGTTTCTATGACAGAGAGCTCAGAGTTTGAGCTAGGGATAGTACAAAGAGAGACTCTATGGAGAGCAGAAGTAAACACACTGAGAAGAAGTCACAGGAGAAGAAAGATGCATCAAGATGCCCAGGTGAAGAGTCCAGGTGAAGAGTAACCTTGAATTCAGAGGAAAACAAATATGCTGAGTAGTCACAAAAAGCAGTTGTCAGGGAGAAAACAAAGCAATGAATCAGTCAGCTGACAGAACGGAAGCTCCCCACTCTTTCTTGTGGTTTCTATGATCGAGTGAATGGACCTGTGCAGACGAAGTGGCTGGGAGGTCTCTACTTCCTGTGGGTTCTAAGGCTGCTTTACTCACAGGAAATTCCCTTGCCCTCCAAGAGAGGGGATGCATCTCAGCATTTCAATGCTTTTCCAGGCATCTGCTCACTGGAGACCTCTCTTAGGTCTCTAGGCTCTTTCCCCAGCATACAAACAGAAGTCCAATCCCACCTTGTTACCTTCTAACTCCTTGTGATTATTAACCACACTTCATTTATTTTGAAAGGCGAATTCTTGGTTTCTAGTTCCCCCTGGGATGGTTCACACATCTCTGCTCAATGTTTTCCAAATGCTCCAATCTTTCTTGGGAACAGGATCCAAGATCTTCCAGATTTCCATGGGTCCCACCATGGGAAATTTGTTTTCTCTGCAACAGGCTCTTGTGTTGAAACACACCCTGCTGTGTTCTCATCAATGTGGGCTAGTGGCCAAGATTTGGGACCAGATAAACAAGAGACTGAAGCTCGAACTTTTCTATTCATGAAATGTTTATAGAAGTTTAAATCTGTTCCTGTCACTGGTGTCACTAAATCTCTGAGTTGTGTTGAAGGCCCAGGTTTTGTGCTCTCTGTGAAAAAAAATTTCCTACTTACTCAATGAGTACACGTTCTTTCAACATGATACAACTATCAGAAGGTTCTATCGCATGATAAATCTTTCTGATTGTATAGACAACTATCTTGTATACTTTTCTTTTTTCCAAATTAGAATTTTCTATGCTTGAACTTTTATTTTAAAAAGAGGCTTGAGGGGCACTAAAGAGATGGCTCAGTGGTTAAGAGCTCTGGATGCTCTTCCAGAGGATTGGAGACCAACTTTGAGAAGCCACACAGTGACTCACAACCATCTGTAACTCTAATGCCGGGGGATCTGGTGCCCCCTTGTGGCCACTGTGTGCACTGCATGTACATGGTACACAGACATACATTTCATGCAAACACTCATACACATAAAATATTTTTTAATTAATAAAAGACTCTCTGATATTAGGAAACTGCTTCCAGTTATGTGTAGGGGAATTCATTTACCACAGCCCACTGGAGAACTTCCTTTAATGACCTACACCTTCCCTGTTAAGTATTAAGCTGAACAGGACGGGTTTTATGTAATTCATTTGCCAGAGTACTTGACTAGCATGCATAAAGCCCTGAGTTCAATCTCCAGCATGGCATAAGTAGGATGTGATATGCATTTATGTAATCCCAGAACATTGTATGTGGAGGCAGGAGGACCAAAAGATCAAGGTCCATCTTGATGGCATGGTGATTTCAAAGTCAGTCTGGGGTACAT